CCCCCACCCCAAATCCCGCATTCCCAGGGGAATTCCCGCTGTTTTCCAGAGGACATCGCGGTGATTTTCCGCAAGGAGTCCTGGGAGGCGTGCGCGGATTTCTCCCATATCCCATTCCCAGTCCCATTCCCGATCCCATTCCCGATCCCGTGCCCCATTCCCAATCCCATTCACGATCCCCCATATCCCATTCCCGATCCCGTGGCCCATTCCCGATCCCGTGCCCCATTCCCGATCCCATTCCCGATCCCGTGCCCCATTCCCAATCCCATTCACGATCCCCCATATCCCATTCACGATCCCCCATATCCCATTCCCGATCCCGTGCCCCATTCCCGATCCCATTCCCGATCCCGTGCCCCATTCCCCATCCCATTCCCGATCCCGTGCCCCATTCCCCATCCCAAATCCCGCATTCCCATGGGAATTCCCGCTGTTTTCCAGAGGACATCGCGGTGATTTTCCGCAAGGATTTCTCCCATATCCCATTCCCAGTCCCATTCCCGATCCCATTCCCGATCCCGTGCCCCATTCCCGACCCCATTCCCGATCCCGTGCCCCATTCCCGATCCCAAATCCCGCATTCCCAGGGGAATTCCCGCTCTTTTCCAGAGGACATCGCGGTGATTTTCCGCAAGGAGTCCTGGGAGGCGCGCGCGGATTTCTCGCAGGCCGACGTTCACCGGCAGGTGGCGATCGTGCTGCGCACGCCGCCCTACGCGCACCTGGAGCTGCGCGAGCCCGTGCAGGTGGAGGTGTTCCTGCAGCGCACGGTACCGCCCGGATAGCACCGGGATAACATGGATAACGGGGATGGGGTACCGGGAACGGCTGGGGGTACAGGTGCAGGTGCAGGTACAGGGGCAGGTGCAGGTGGAGGTGTTCCGGCAGCGCCTCACCGACAGCGTCCGGAGCGAAGGGTTCCGCTTCACCTACCTGCCCCGGGACACCGGTACCGCCCGGATAGCACCGGGATAACATGGATAACGGGGATGGGGTACCGGGAACGGCTGGGGGTACAGGTGCAGGTGCAGGTACAGGTGCAGGTGCAGGTGGAGGTGTTCCTGCAGCGCCTCACCGACAGCGTCCGGAGCGAAGGGTTCCGCTTCACCTACCTGCCCCGGGACACCGGTACCGCCCGGATAGCACCGGGATAACATGGATAACGGGGATGGGGTACCGGGAACGGCTGGGGGTACAGGTGCAGGTGCAGGTACAGGTGCAGGTGCAGGTGGAGGTGTTCCTGCAGCGCCTCACCGACAGCGTCCGGAGCGAAGGGTTCCGCTTCACCTACCTGCCCCGGGACACCGGTACCGCCCGGATAGCACCGGGATAACATGGATAACGGGGATGGGGTACCGGGAACGGCTGGGGGTACAGGTGCAGGTGCAGGTACAGGTGCAGGTGCAGGTGGAGGTGTTCCTGCAGCGCCTCACCGACAGCGTCCGGAGCGAAGGGTTCCGCTTCACCTACCTGCCCCGGGACACCGGTACCGCCGGGATAGCACCGGAACACCTGGGGATAACGGGGATGGGGTACCGGGAACGGCTGGGCTGGGGGTACAGGTGCAGGTACAGGTGTAGGTGTCAATAGCACCAATCCCGGTGTTCCCGGTAGTTTCTGGTGTTCCCGGTAATGTTTCCCGGTGTTTCCCGGTAACGTTTCCCAGTGGTTCCCGGTAACGTTTCCTGGTCAGTCCCGGTGTCACTCCCGGTAACATTCGCTGGTGTCATTTCCCGGTGTTCCCTGGCGCGTTCCCCGGTTCTTCCCGGTGCATTTCCCGGTGTAATTCCCGGTGTTCCCCGCTATTCCCAGGTGTAACTCCCGGTGTGATTCCCAGTGTATTCCCTGGTGTAACTCCCAGTATTCCCTGGTGTAATTCCCGGTGTTTCTCAGTGTTCCCTGGTAAATTCCTGGTGTCTTTCCCAATGTAATTCCCAGTGTTCCCTGGTGTGTTTCCTGGTGCGTTTCCCGGTGTAACTCCCAGTGTAATTCCTGGTGTAATTCCTGTTGCAATTCCCGGTGTGTTTCCCCTCCCCGTGTAATTCCCAGTATTTCTCAGTAATTCCCGGTGTAATTCCCCGTGTTATTCCCAGTGTGTTTCCCGGTGTGTTTCCCAATGTAATTCCCGGTGTAATTCATGTTATTTCCCAGTATTCCTGGTGTGTTTCCTGGTATTTCCCGGTGTAATTCCCAGTGTATTTCCCGGTGTTCCCTGATAAATTCCCGGTGTTTCCTGGTGTAACTCCTGGTGTTTCCCGGTGTAATTCCCAGTGTAATTCCCGGTGTAACTCTCTGTGATTCCCGGTGCAATTCCCGGTGTATTTCCTGCTGCAATATCCACTGTAACTCCGGGTGTAATTCCTGGTAATTCCCGGCGTGTTTCCCGGTGCAATTCCTGGTGTTTCCCAGTGTAACTCCCGGTGTTTCCCGGTAATTCGTAATTCTCGGTGTAATTCCCAGTGTGTTTCCCGATGTGTTTCCCGTTGCAATTCCTGGAGTAATTCCCGGTGTAACTCCCGGTGTGTTTTCTGGTGTAATTCCCGGTGTAACTCCCGGTGTAATTCCCACTGTTATTCCCAGTGTGTTTCCCGGTGTGTTTCCCGTTGCAATTCCTGTTGCAATTCCTGGTGTGTTTCCTGGTGTAGTTCTGGGTGTAACTCCCCGTGTAATTCCCAGTGTTTCCCAGTAATTCCCACTACTATTCCCAGTGTGTTTCTCATTGCAATTCCCGGTGTGTTTCCTGTTGCAATTCCTGGTATGTTTCCCCGTGCAATTCCCGGTGTAATTCCCATTGCAATTCCCGGTGCCATTCCCGGTGTGCCATTCCCGGTGTGCCATTCCCGGTGCCATTCCCGGTGTGCCATTCCCGGTGTGCATTCCTGGTGTAACATTCCTGGTGTAACATTCCCGGTGACATTCCCGGTGTAACATTCCCGGTGTGCATTCCCGGTGTGCCATTCCCAGTGCCATTCCGGTACCATTCCCGGTGTGCCATTCCCGGTGCCATTCCCGGTGTAACATTCCCGGTGTAACATTCCCATTGCCATTCCCGGTGCCATTCCCGGTGTGCCATTCCCGGTGTAACATTCCCGGTGCCATTCCCGGTGTAACATTCCCATTGCCATTCCCGGTGCCGTTCCCGGTGTGCCGTTCCCGCTGTCTCCCCGCAGACGCGTACCGGGTGCAGGTGAAGCGCAAGCGGGGAATGCCCGACCTGCTGGAGGAGCTCTCGGGGACCGGTGGGACCGGCCGGGGAACCGGGATGGGAACGGGGGAACTGGGGGGGACTGGGATGGGATTGGGAGGGACTCGGGGGGACTGGGAGGGATTGGGGCTGACTGGGATGGGACTGGGAGGGAACTGGGGGGGACTGGGGGGGACTGGGATGGGATTGGGAGCGATTTGGGGGAAATTTGGGGTGAATTTGGGGAGGATTTGGGAGGATTTGAGGGGATTTGGGGAGAACTTGGTGGAATTTGGGGAATTTTGGGAAGTTCGGGAGGATTTGGGGGGAATTTGGAGGAAATTTGGGATGAATTTCAGGGGATTGGGAGGAAAATTTGGATGAATTTTGCGGAATTTGGGGAACTTCAGGGAGGAATTTGTGGGGAATTTGGGGATTTCGGGGAATTTGGGGAATTGACCCCCCCGTTGCCCCCAGACCCATTTGGGATCGAGGCCAAGAGGAGGAAGAAGCCCCCGGGGTACCTGGAGCACTTCATCCCCCTCGGGCCCACAGGTGCCACCCCCAAATCCCAAATTTCCCCCCAAA